AAGTACCTGGCTCAGGGGAGAAGGAAAAGAAGGGGGAAGTGCACAGTGAGGGGGAAAGGTAAGTTATGTAGGTCTTCAGAGTCTGGGGAACAGACTATGTATATTTGACTTTTCACCATGTTTATGCATCATTCTGGTTCCAAACAGGAAAAGGAGTATGTTAAGTCTGTATATTGTCACCCTGCTTATTTAACTTATATGCAGAGTACATCATAAGAAACGCTGGGCTGGAAGAAGCACAAGCTGGAATCAAGATTGCTGGGAGAAATATCAATAACCTCAGATATGCAGATGACACCACCCTTATGGCANGGGAGGGATTGAGGGCAGGAGGAGAAGGGGACGACAGAGGATGAGATGGCTGGATGGCATCACCAACTCGATGGGCATGAGTTTGAGTGAACTCCGGGAGTTGGTGATGGACAGGGAGGCCTGACGTGCTGCGATTCATGGGATCGCAAAGTCAGACACGACCGAGCAACTGAACTGACTGACTGACTGATGCATCATTCTGATAGCAAGACAAAGAAGCAAATGGAGGACAGGAAGGAAGGAAGAAGGAAGACAGGGAAGGATGAAGCGGGGGAAAGGAAAACAGGGAGGAGGAGGAAAGTGTTAAGAGAAACAATACGGATAAAAATGAAATGGAGCCTAATAGATCAAATATGGCTTTTAGAGAAAATGAAGCAAAGTTCTTTTTAAAATTACAAGCTTTAACTAAATATAGACTAGATCCCTGTGTCTCCTTTTTTACGTGGCAGCATCTGTAAGTGAAGACACTTTCTTACCACTGCTTCACTCCCCAAGCCGCAGCCTCCTACAAGTCTCCCCACTCTCTCCCTTCTCTGTTATCTTAGGTTATCACCTTTCCAAACTGCTCTGCCTGCTTCTTCCCTGATCTCCACCATGCAGGCAAGTAATCTGTCTAAAGTTCAAAGCCAATCATAGACTTTCTTTCTTAAAACTCTTCAACAGTTTCCACTGCCTTTAGGATAAGGTTTGAACTCATCAACCTGGTATATGAGACTTCATGATTTCACCTCTGATCACCTTTGGAGCTTTATTTCTAAACAAGCCCACCCCACCCCATCTCTGAGCCCCACGCAGGCACAGTGCAATCCTTTGTAGGTCCAGGCTGCTTCCACCTCTAGAACTGCTGCATTGCTGTGTCCTACTTCCACCTAGAGGTGGAAGTACTGCATTTTGGACTCTTTTGTTGACCATGATGGCTACTCCATTTCTTCTAAGGGATTCCTGCCCACAGTAGCAGATAAAATGGTCATCTGAGTTAAATTCACCCTTTCCAGTCCATCTTAGTTCGCTGATTCCTAGAATGTCGATGTTCACTCTTGCCATCTCCTATTTGACCACTTCCAATTTGCCTTGATTCAGGGACCTAACATTTCAGGTTCCTATGCAATATTGCTCTTTACAGCACCGAATCTTGCTTCTATCACCAGTCCCATCCACAACTGGGTGTTGTTTTTGCTTTGGCTGCATCCCTTCATTCTTTCTGGAGTTATCTCTCCACTGATCTCCAGTAGCATATTGGGCACTTACCGACCTGGGGAGTTCATCTTTCAGTGTCCTATCTTTTTGCCTTTTCATACTGTTCATGGGGTTCTCAAGGCAAGAATACTGAAGTGGTTTGCCATTCCCTTCTCCAGTGGACCACATTCTGTCAGA